GTACAATTAAGCTTGAAAGTTGTTGCTTTGTATAAAGGATGCTGAGGTGGTGCAGGTAACAAAACCTGTACCATTTGATCTAATTTCACAAAATTTATCCTGTAAATGGGGGAATAAAACATCAGCAGGCATCTCACATGATTGCTCTTTATGAAAAAGGATCATGTGTCTAACAACCTGTTCCTCAGAGTAGGCTAGCCTTCTGTGAATTGTTCTAAAGCAGTACTCTTGAGGAAGAAGGCTTGTTTTCAGCTGCTGTCCTAGGGCCTTGGAGGCGTAAACATATTCAGGCAAAAGCAAAAGGACATAATTAATGTTTTCTCAGAAATTAAAAATGTGGCAGGTTAGTCCTATGCCTTCAGAGATAGTCACCACCAGTATTACTCATGTCGCTCTGCATCAAAATCCTCATTGGAGCTTTTAAAAATAGATACAGATTTCCAGGACCCACCCCAGACATACGGATTGAGAATCTCCAGGAGTTGAGCCCAGGAATCTGTACATTTAGATGCTTCCCAGGTCATACCGATGCCCAGAAGGATTAAGAACCCTAGAGGATGACATTGAAGACCACTCAGGAGTCCTCCCTGCCTGTGTCAGACAAAGGAAATACTGCGAGCACTCTTCAGTAATGACAGAAGCATAACAGAGACAGTTACCTCCACTGGTCCTTAGTTATTATTGAGTATTGGGCCCATTCTTTCATTCATTCAACAATATTTATCCAACATCTCCTCTAGGCACTATCCTAGATTAGAGATGTTCAGTCAAATATCATTGATCATATGCTAGATCTGATACATTTCTGAGAGTTTTGCAAGGATTATTTTTGCTTAATTCTCCCAACAATCCTGTAAGGTGGATACCATTATTATCCTTACATTAAAAATGGTATATAAAACTGAGGGACAGGAAAATTTGAGCAATTTTCCCACGTTTAAACAGTGTGGTTATTTACTCAATGCCTTAATCCTGCAAATTTTTCTCAGAAAAGTTCACACACATATAATTTTTTACATGAAATTTGGGGGCTGCACAGACTCCTATGGATATCAGGTTAAAGGCCCCTGGCCTGGAGGATGACAGCTACCATATTGTGAGTAAATATGATTCCCCATCACCATCGCTGAGCTCTGAACACAAACCATTCTTTCATTTGACCCGTTTCTTGCTGTAGCTCATCCATCGAGTTTTGTCCCCCTTACATTACTGGACTTCTCGCTTGTCTTTTTCTGTCTTCATATTGGATAACAGATGTATTTTGGACATTTCATTGACTGCCCTTCTAATTTTGTTACTTTTAGATTACCTACATCCTCCCAATATATAAGGGAATTTTTTTTTGCTGGCATCAGATAATTTTCAGTTGACTGACTCCATGTGCCTTTTCATTGATTTAAGTTTTCCCAAGAATGTTGCCATCCAAACTCACCTGTAGTTAATATCTGTCTTACTTCGTTTTTTTGTTCTTTGTTTGAGGTCTTTATTATGGTTCTTATTGGCTTCCTCTGCTTGTAAAATAGTACTGTAGTATATTCATTTTGGTTACTTAGAAATCACCCATATACAGAGGGTGCCAAGAAAAGTATACACATTTTAAGAGAATGGAAAACTGTATTAAAATTGTAATGCTCAATATATACTGATAACAAAAGATGAATACAAGTCATGTTTGACTTCTGCAATTACAAGAGGTGCTCAAAGTGGTTACCATCAGCGTCCAGACACTTCTGATTACAGCGAACTACTGCTTGAGCAACATTGACCAAAGTGTCCACTTGTGTACAATTTTTTGGCACCCCCTGGATAGGCTAACTCAGAATTATAAGAGATGGTCTGCTGATTTGCAGTTTAGATTTCCGGAAGGCAGGGTTTCCTGTGATTATGTGGTGTGCTGTTAGCATCTTCTTTCTATGCCTTATGCCCTCTTAAATATACTTTCCTATGAAAATAATAAAATGTTGACATACACATATCTTATACAGCTCTCATTTTTATATATAAATGTATATATAATATATATAATATACATATATATTTAATACTATTAAATATATTTAATAATATCCTTATTAACAAACCAACAGAAAATTGGCTGCCAGTGGGTAGATTCTGTATGTTCTATTCTTAACTCTAGTATCTGTCAGTGGATCTCTGCTTGAACTTATTTCTAGCTGATAATTCTGCTTTAAATTTACCCATAAGGTAGTTATTCTGTTCCTCTCAGCATAGTAGAATTAAAAATTGTAGCTTAGTTTGAACCCATCTTAGGGAAAGCTGAAAGAAAAAAGAAAGCAATATCTCTTACCTTCTTTTCAGAACTTTCTCAATTTTAGTAAAGAAGGCAATTATCAAATAAACAGTATATTCAATTTTATTTCTCTTTCACTTTAAGGATCTAAGTAAAAGGTTGACGATTTCACTGAGGTATTTTCCTGCATAAATACAGCTATACTATGATAGCTGTATTTCAACTATATTTCTTCCTCTGGAAATGTTCTCTCTTCTGATTATTTTTTTCTTAAGATTTTTATTGGGAAATTGGGGGAGGGGTACAGTGTTGGGGAATTGGGGAAGGGGACCAGCCAAGTTGTTGTTCTTCAGTTTTCGTTGTGGAGGGCACCAGTTGCCATCTGGTTGCCTGTTGGCAGCTCATGGGCTCTAAGCTCAAGGTGCCGAGTTCAGTCCTAGTTGTGGGTGGGTGTAGCCACCATCCCATGTGGGAGTCAAACCAGCAGCCTTGTTGTTAAGAGCACACGTCCTATCCATTGAAACATCCGGGTGGCAGCTCAGCTCAAGATGCTGAGTTCAGTCTTAGTTGCAGGTGGGCATAGCCCACCATCGATCAGGCAATCTTGTTGTTACACCAGCTGAGCCATCCTGCCCTGATGGCAGCTCAGCAACAGCTCAGCTTGGGCGCAGCATCACGGGCCCATGTGGGAATCGAACCGGCGGCCCTGTTGCTCAGAGCTCACGCTCTTAAGCCAACTCTTAACCAACTGAGCCACTCAGCCAGGCCCTCTCTTCTGCTTCTATTTGTAATTGCCTGTAGTACTATAACTTCATTTAGGACAGCATGTTCCTTTATCACCTGATGCTGATATAACAGTATGACAGGAAATAGAGATTTATAATATCTTTTATTGTAATCCTGATTAACTTTGTCTTATGACCTGAACATTAGACTAGATTATTTCTTAATCTTCTTGACCTTTTTATGGAATGTTTTTACAGTAACTGATCTACATGAAAGAATTTAAGTCTTGCCTCACACAAATGTAATCTAGTAGAATCAACTTTGATGACCTCAAATATGTTTGTTATTCTTTAGTGAAATTTCCATATTGTCTTAGGTTAGACTCTTAGATACTAAAATAAGGTAACTGAATAACATCCCTTACATTGATTTAAGAGATCTTAATCTTCAGAAGTCATTTCAATTTCAAGATTTTACAATATACCCATCTTTCCTTGATCCGAATTATTTGGTTATGTTTGCATCTTTTAAAGATTATGTAATTTTCTATTATAAGGACACATTTCTACTTTGTGACTTAAAAAAATTAGATCTTATATATTGTTTTGCTTTTCTGCCCATATTTTCTAATCTTTTGTAGTGTGCAACTTTCTTATTCCTTTTATTAACACTTGGTAAGGTTCATATCTCCTTGGTTACAGAATAAAAATCTCCACCTTTCTTAACCAGAAGTAGAGTTTATTTTAGTTTTGATTATAAAGTCAGTAGAAAAACAAGTCATTATAAACTAGGTTATGTAAATTAAGCATGTTACTTCGTAATTATAATTTGATGCATTTACTTCTGTTGCGTACTATATTTGTGAAAGATCCAAGTTGCACCTTCCTTGTTTTGTGGTTGAATAATAATTTAATGTTTCTAATTCCTGTTCAGGTTGGGCATGTCAAAAGAGGAATCCACAAAGCTCACCTCTGGACCAAACAATGATGGAGCTGAAAGTAGTTCTTCAGCTGGGACCTCTAGTCTTCCAGGTCTTTCTTCACAGACTCTTTTAGAAGAACAACAACCACCAAGCATGAAAAGTCCAACTTCTCCAGAGCCTGACTTCTGTGCTACGCTCTGTCCTATGGTAGATGTAGGTAAAGATGTAATGGCAGAATTAGAATCAGAGGATATCTTGATCCCTGAAGAATCTGTGATTCAGGAGGAAATTGCAGAAGAGGTAGAGACTAGTATCTGTGAATGCCAGGATGAAAATCATAAGACAATACCTGAATTTTCTGAGGAGTCTGAAAGTCCAGCCGACTCTCATGAAGAGCCCCAAATGGCACCTCCTGAAGAGAACTTGGAATCCTGTGTTGTGATGAATGATGTTTTAGAAACGTTGCCTCATATTGAAGTTAAGGTGGAAGAGAAGTCAGAATCCTCCCAGGAAGAAATGTCAGTTGTTATTGATCAACTAGAAGCCTGTGACTCTCTCGTTCCTTCCACTTCATCTGTGACTCATGTCAGTGACACAGAACATAAGGAGCCAGAAACTGCAATACAGAACAATACTCCAAAAATAAACATAGGGTCATCTTCTTTAGAAGGCCAGTTTCCAGGTGAAGGAATTGCTGTAGATATGGAGCTACAGAGCGATCCTGATGAACAGCTTTCTGAAAATGCTTGCATCTCTGAAACTTCCTTCTCTTCTGAGAGCCCAGAGGGAGCCTGTACCAGCCTGACATCCCCAGGAGGAGAGACACAGTCCACTTCAGAAGAATCATGTACTCCAGCCTCCCTTGAGACAACATTTTGTTCTGAGGTGTCCAGCACTGAAAATGGAGACAAATATAATCAGAGAAATCCCACAGAAGGAAACCTTCATGCATCTTTGATGTCAGAAATATCGCCAGTGTCCACTTCACCTGAAATATCAGAAGCATCTCTAATGTCCAATTTGCCTTTAACCTCTGAGGCATCCCCAGTATCAAATTTGCCGTTAACATCAGAAGCATCACCCATGTCTGACTTACCTTTGACATCAGAAGCTTCTTCAGTGTCTTCCATGCTTCTCACGTCTGAGACCACTTTTATATCCAGTCTGCCACTTCCTTCAGAAACATCTCCAATTTCAAATTCTACCATGAATGAAAGAATGGTGCATCAACAAAGAAAGTCTCCTTCCATATCTGAAGAACCACCCTCTCCACAGAAAGATGAAGGTCCTGCCCCTGCCAAACCCCTGGGAGAAAGCCTTCTCTCTCAGCAGAAGACTCTCTCAAATACTCCTGAACCCATCAAAATGAGCTCTTCTTCCGTTGCTCTGGAAGCATTTTCACCTGAAGAACTGCACAATAAGACCATGAATCAGCAGCCTTGTAAATCACACATTGAAACTGAGAAGCCCTATTCTGCTTCAGTGCCAGAACTTCCTTCTACAGAAATCATAAAAGTTAAAAATCATAATGTCCTGCAAAGAACAGAAAAGAAAGGGGTGTCTTCACCATTGGAATTACCTGTCTTTTCTGAAGAGTCAGAGAGTAAAGGAAATGAGCTTCCATCAGCTAAATTACAGGACAAGCCGTATATCTCACCAATGGATAAGGCTTCATTTCCAGAAGGCTCTAGAAATAAAACCCATAAGCAAGGGAGCTCACAGAATCGGTTGGAGACCTCACATACTTCCAAACCATCAGAGCCCTCCAAGTCACCTGATGGGCTAAGAAATGAAAGTAGAGAATCCGAGATATCAAAGAGGAAAACCGCAGAGCAGCACAGCTTTGGAATCTGTAAGGAAAAGAGGGCAAGGATAGAAGATGATCTGTCAACCCGGAACATATCATCTAGCAGCCCACCTGAGAAAGAGCAGCCTCCAAGAGAGGAACCCAGGGTTCCACCTCTCAAGGTATGGTATTTAAAAAGAAAAGAGAGAAAAGAAAAGGCGATTCCACAGATAAGCTTTTTCCTCTTTGGATACTTAATTTTTCAAAAGTAAAGGAGGTTTTCATCCTTCCAGGTTTTATGTAGCAGTTGCTATCTAATATTCCCAGCACCAGTCTAATATTAAATGATTCTTTTTTACGCTATGCATTGAGCTCATATAAGTTTAGATACATGTATGTATTTAGACCTCAGCATTTAAGGAAAAAGAAGTGGGAAGGAGAACAGGGTCTGAAGGAGCCCATGTTTCACGGCGATACAGGGTCTTTTGGGGATTCCAAGGTGTAGGACAGACCTACATAAATGTGGGAGAATTTGAAAGATAACCCAGTGTCCTATAAAAGTTCGGAAGGACTAGAGAAAGAAAAAGTCGGGAGTAAGAGGCATGCACTGAAAAGATGAAGGTACATATTATCCCTTCATTTATTTTCCAAAGAACACTGAACACCACCATTGCCTAGCAGGAAGGGACCTGGCTTAGGAAAGAGCCTCATTAAATTTTTCTTAAATAAATCAATGAAATTGCTTTGTGAACCCTGAGAGAAAACGCTGTAGATATATAGGCATACAGATCCTATTTTTTTATTTCAAGATAGTAAAAAGCTATTTAACTTCACAAAAAAATGAAGCCTGTAGACAAACATTGCTATTTATATGTTTTCATTTTACCCCAGTAAATTTTAACTCTCAGAAAACAAACCTTTTATATAAATTGGCTCTGCCTAATAAACTGAAAATTAAGGTTGATTCAAAAGAAACTCTGTTTAATAATAAAAAAATTCTACCCACAATAATTTAAATTTATTTGGTGCTTTTATCTCAGTCCATTTATTTTGTTCTACAATAAAATGGCTTATTCCATCATAGTTGGTCTAGAATCATAAACATATTCCAGCTTTGTTTTTCTTAATCTCTCTTTATTTTGCTCTGCTCTGACACCTTTTTGTGTGTGACTCATGATCTCCATAAGGTTGACTTTTAAGAGTGTGGTTGTAGTTGCTTTGTTTAATAAAGCAAGTCCCTATTAAATGAAATTCTAGAGATGTAAAAGACAAACATAAAGCCCTGCCATGTGTTTTAATTTCTGAAGCAGTGGAAAGAAAAATGGAAGCATGTTTTTCATGGGAAATATTTTTAAACACACCAGTCTAATTTTGTTATCAAAAGCTTATTTTCAAAGTGATGCGCACTTTATGTAAAGATAGGGAAGGAAGTAGAAGGAGGCAGGTAGATACTGTAAATATGCTACTGGATGTTTATTTGGCCCTGAGCTCTTGCTTCTATCTAGGCTTAATTTTTTAAATGTTTTCAGTTCTTTTAACTAAGGAAAATATTTAAAAGGAATAAATGAATCCCCTCTCTGAATTCATTTTTTTCTTTGGAGCCTTTGAATTAGAAGAGAGTCATTATAAGTTTGAAAATGAGAAATGAGATAGCACAGGAAGATGGTTCCATCAACCAAAGTTCCACGATATAATTCCAAATTGATATGATCCTCTAACATGTGTCAAGTGTTTATAATGTAAATATGCATATGTTAAGAAGAGGAGATATACAGAGGGTGCCAAAAAACATGTTTTAAGAAAGGAAAACTGTATTAAAATTGTAATACTCAATATATAGTGATAACAAAAGATAAATACAAGTCACGCTTGACTCCTGCAATTACAAGAGATGCTCCAAGTGGTTACCGTCAGCATCCAGATACTTCTGATTACTGCGAACCAACTGCTCAAGCAACGTTGACCAAAGTGTCCACTTGTATACATTTTTTGACACCCCCGTTATGTTTTCTAGGAAAAGCTTTTACTAGGGGCGGGGCGGGGGGGGGCGGAGCAAGCATAGTACATGCCAACAGCTCTGAATGGGGAACCCAAAGACTCTCCCTGTCACACTCACTGTTTTATGGCCCAGGGCAGCCTACCTCCATTTCTTTCAGCTGTAAAATGAAAGACTTTAACTAGATCCCTTCAAGCTCTACAAATCTGTGACTCTAAGAACATTCTTAGTGACTAGAGTATCATAGCATTGCTATGGGATGTGGGTTGCTAGGCCTTATTGCCTCATGAATTTGGTGAAGACTGCAAGTCTCTTACTTAGAATAAGTGAACAGTGTGGATTGAGATATTTATGAAATTCAGCAAATTGTAGATCACCAACAGCAAAAGAAACTGGCCAGCCTGTACTTCCTTTGAGAGGCAAAAAACCAGCATTGCCCTTGCTTTCATGAAAACATGATGAGAATAAAATCCTTTTGGAAAGCAGAGCACGCTCACAAATAGAGTCTTATTCCATCTTTATAACAGTCCTGTGAAGGAAACAGACCAGAAATAACTAGTCTCATTTTACATTTGCGTTTACAAACTCTTCTTGTGTGCTTATGATATGTGTATAAGGCAGCATACTAGGCAATATGAGAATGCATGAAAACCAGAGAACTTCTGGCTCGGGGAGGTTAGCGAAGGCACTGCGGGACTCAGTGATTTGCCCAGCATCACCCAGTTCCCCTGAGAGAAGCCAGGATGACAATTCTAGTCTCCCGACCTCTTGGCGAGGGCCTTGTGTGTGTGTGTGTGTGTGTGTGTGTGTGTGTGTGTGAAATGAAGACAGAGAAACTGAAATAGAATCAAGGTCCCAGATATTCATACCAGCAAGAAAGCTAATATAAAAGCTCAACATCTCTAAGTCTTTTTAGCAAACCTCATTTTAAGAAGCATGGATTTTGTTTCCATTTACATGAGGCATTAAGAAGAGGTTTCATTTCCATGCCACATGAAATCACCAGTTGATGTTTTTGTAGAATAAAACAGAAATTAAAATTTTTCATTTTCATGTTCGTGGTGCATTTCATGTTACTTTGCACCCTGAAGGCCCATTCAGGGATTTAGGTGCGTATGGTTCATGCCACATGATGAAAAACGCAGCTCCTTCTGTGTACTGTCCAAATCGCCATGTCCCCTCTGTGATCATGTACTAAGCGCTTTATCTTCCCATTCTCCCCTTCCTGTAGATCCAGCTTTCCAAAATCGGGCCACCTTTTATTATCAAGAGCCAACCCGTCTCCAAACCGGAGTCACGAGCATCCCCCAGCACATCCGTCAGTGGTGGGAGGAACACGGGCGCCAGGACCCTTGCGGATATCAAGGCCCGTGCCCAGCAAGCAAGGGCCCAGCGAGAGGCCGCGGCCGCGGCTGCTGTAGCGGCAGCAGCGAGCATTGTCCCTGGAGCAGTGGGGAGCCCGGGAGAGGGTGGAAAGGCGAGAACCCTGGCTCATATCAAAGAACAGACAAAAGCGAAGCTCTTTGCAAAGCATCAAGCCCGAGCCCACCTCTTCCAGAGCACTAAAGAGACCCGATTGCCTCCGCTTGGCTCAAAGGAAGGCACTCCTAGCTTAGAAGTTCCTCCTACCCCTGAAACAAAAATCGAGGGTTCAACCGGTGTCATTATCGTCAACCCAAACTGCAGATCTCCTAGCAACAAGTCTGCCCACCTCCGGGAGGCCACCACTATATTACAGCAGTCTCTTAACCCGACTAAACTTCCAGAAACTGCCACGGACTTATCCGTGCGTAGTTCTGATGAAAATATACCTGTGTCGCATTTATCTGAGAAAATTGTTTCATCTACCTCTTCTGAAAACAGCAGTGTGCCCATGCTTTTTAATAAAAATTCTGTCCCTGTGTCTGTCTGCAGCACTGCTATGTCAGGAGCAATTAAAGAACATCCCTTTGTGAGTTCTGTTGATAAATCCTCTGTTCTAATGTCTGTTGACAGTGCAAGCACTACAATTTCTGCTTGTAATATAAGCATGTTAAAAACCATCCAGGGACCTGACACACCATGCATAGCCATTATACCAAAATGTGTTGAAAGCACTCCCGTTCCCACCACCACCGAAGGCGCCAGCATATCGAGCTCCGTGGATGACAAGCAGTTACTCCTGTCAAGCAGCGGTGCTGGTAACTTAGTCTCCAGTCAGTACACCTCTGTGCCAACTCCCTCCATTGGAAATAACTTGCCAAACCATCTCTCCACTAGCTCTGTCTTGATTCCCCCAGCGGGAATTAACAACCGATTTCCTCCGGAGAAGATAGCCATGCCTGGGAGTGAAGAACAGGCCACCGTGCCCATAGGGACCACTGTGAGAGCCGCCCTCAGCTGCAGGGAGTCAGTAGCCATCACGGACACACTGGTTGCACGCCCACCAGTCGCAATGTTTACCGGAAGTATGCTGACCATAAACTCTTATGATGATAGCTCTCCCAAGTTAAGTGCTGAAAGCTTGGACAAAAATTCTGGGCCTCGCAACAGGGCAGACAATTCTGGGAAACCTCAGCAACCCCCAGGGGGCTTTGCACCAGCAGCCATAAACAGATCGATTCCGTGTAAAGTCATCGTTGACCACAGCACCACGCTGACCTCCACTTTGTCTCTGACTGTCTCCATTGAAAGTGCAGAAGCCAGCTTGGACATCCAGAGCAGGTCAGGGAGGACAGAAGCAGCCACACAGCCCATGGCATGTCCTCAGGTGTCTGTGATTAGCAGGCCTGAGCCAGTTGCAAGCGAAAGCATAGATCACGGTTCTAGTTTCCTTGCTGCTGCTTCAGCAAAACAAGACTGTAAAACGATGCAGGCCCCCTGCACCAATCTCCGAGAAGTACCCCTTGCTGTGCCAGATAAATTAAATGAGGTGACTGCTCCTAGTAATACCTTTGCTGAGCAGGCACGTGGCCCGACCACTTTCAAAAGTGAAGCAGACACAACCTGTAGCAACCAGTACAACCCAGGCAACCGGATTTGCTGGACCGATGACGGCATGAGGAGCACTGGACAGCCCCTGGTTAGTCACTCGGGTTCGAGTAAACAGAAAGAATATCTAGAGCAGAGCTGTCCAAAGGCTATCAAAACTGAACACGCCGGCTACTCGCACCTGTCAGAACTTCAGCCTAGGAATCTCATAACTAGTGTCACTATCCCCGTGAAATCAGAACCCCATGAAATGGACAAGGGCTTCAGAATGGATACTGAAGACTTCCCTGGCCCGGAGCTGCCCCCTCCGGCTACAGAAGCCACCCCTAGTGGGCCACCGACACAGAACGTGAAGGCTCCCACCTCTGGTCCTGTGGAAGAGGCAATTTCCTTGGCTACAGACACCCTGAAAAGAGTTCCCAGTGCAGGGAGCTCAAGCTGTCGTCTGTCATCTGTGGAGGCGAACAATCCACTGGTGACACAGTTGCTACAGGGCAACCTGCCTTTGGAAAAAGTGTTGCCGCAGCCCAGACTGGGAGCCAAGCTCGAAATTAACAGGCTTCCTCTGCCTCTTCAAACTACCTCAGTGGGTAAAACAGCACCAGAGAGGAACATTGTGGAAATGCCGTCCAGCTCTCCAAACCCAGATGGGAAGGGCTACTTGGCAGGGACCCTGGCACCACTCCCAATGAGAAAGCGAGAAAACCACCCCAAAAAGCGAGTGGCCAGGACTGTGGGGGAACACACTCAAGTGAAATGTGAACCGGGGAAATTGCTGGTGGAGCCAGAGCTTAAAGGGGTGCCTTGTGTCATCAACGCCGGCCTGAATCAGCTAGGACACGGCCAGCCATTTAAGCAAGAGTGGATGAACAAGCACGCGGTGCAGAACAGAATCGTTCACAGCCCGGAGGTCAAACAGCAAAAGCGGCTGCTCCCCTCGTGTAGCTTCCAGCAGAGCCTGTTTCATGGTGACAAGAATGGCAGCTTCCACCCTGATGCTGGTACCTCCCACAGACAGCCGTTTTACCAAATGTCCATGGCTGCCAGGGGCCCCATTCCTACCGCAGCCCTGCTGCAGGCCTCGGCCAAGGCCCCGGTGGGCTGTAATGCGTTCGCCTTCAACAGGCATCTTGAACAAAAGGGACTGGCAGAGGTGGGCCTCGCCTCAGCGCCTCACCAGCTAAGGTTAGCCAACATGTTGTCCCCCGGTATGCCCATTAAAGAAGGCGAGGACGTGGGAGGGGCTACACACGC